CGTGGTTGAAGACTACACTCGGATTTTCTCCAAAAAATATCTCAGCATTGTTGGTAAATCAATGAAGCTACTCATGTGGTCTTCTGATTTTGACCTTAATGATGAACCTCCTACTGTACCGGTATAGTTCAGTCTACCAGGTCTCAAGCTGCACTTTTTTTATCATCAGGTTTTTTACTTTTACTCTATTGGGACCATACTTGGGGACCCTATGAAGCTAGATCTACGGACTTTCAACCTAACCAGATCTTTTGTGGTCAGAATACTTGTGGAAAGAGATATTACTTTACCTGATGTTACTGAAGTCTGATTGGGCACAACTCATAATGGATATTGGCAACAAATCGTCATGGAGCATAGACCGCTTACTATTCTCATTGTAAGATGTTTGGGCATACACTTGATAAATATCATAAGTTTAATCTTAATTTAAAATCTAAAGATCAAGTGAATGAGGATGGATCAAATCCCACTACTCTGGACATATTTGTTCCATCTGGAGAGAAAACTATCACGTGACAGATTTTGGATATCGCTACAGATCAGCCACTTATCATCCCTACTGAGAAGGTGCAAACCGACCCTTTACCCAACATCACAGTTCCTGATGAAGAACATCAAACTACAAGTACATATCTAAAAGTGTTTATACCACTCACTGTTATTGAAGAAGACTCGCTTACATGTCAAGACACACGAGAGTGTTTCTTTGATTCAATCAAAGATCAGCTGGTACAACAAGCGAATACTTCTAATGTTCAACATCCTACACATGTCCGGCACACTTTAGACCAATCCACTTATCAGGCAAGCCAATCTTAAGATGAAGAATGACAGTCTATTCCAGGAGGAAGAAGAAGATTGGAGGCTGACTCGAGCTTGGAAACTTATTGGATGATACTTTGGTCATTACTGGCAATGACACTCATCTTACCAATTTATTAGTTGGCTCTTTTCCTAGAACTAGAGGTAGAGGCAAAGGAAAATTGGGTCGCTCTCTAGCTACCTTATACTACGTTTTTTGGCATTTTTTATTTTTTTTCTTTAGGTCTCTTATAATTTTCTGTATTTTCTCTTTTTTTGAAACCATTTGTATGTGATGGTTATCATGGGGGAAGGGTGTCATGCTTGGGCCCTTCCACACAATCTATATGTATCCTTATTTCCTTTTAATATATTAGTCTTTGGGCTTTCTCAAATATATATATATATATGTGTGTGTGTGTGTGTGTAATGTGTGTGTGTGCGCGCGAATTAGTTAGCTCTTTGGTAGGCGAATGTGTAAGACCACTGGGGTCCCGAGTTCAAGAATTGCCTCGAACAGCACACAAGGGCGTTTGTGATCCATCTTATATATATATATATATATAT